GGCGCCCGGCTAGTGAGGCAGCGTCCGCCCCGCCGCCCAAACCTGCCCTGGGTGCCGAGCATGCCCAGTGCCGCCGCGACCGCGCGGCGCTTCGCCGTGCGCATTCCACTTCTCCTGGTTTTCGCGGCAGCAGCGGCAGCAGCAGCAGCAGGGGAGAGGGGAGGAGGCCGCGGGTTGGGAGAGGGCCGAGCATCCACGCGAGCGCACTGCCTGGCCTCGAGATGGGTGGATGCTCGCCACCAGGAGAAAGCTGGAAGGGACCCGGGGAAGGCCTGGAACCCCGGGGAGGGAGGGGGCCGGTTCCTTCGTTCACGTGCAAGAAGCTGACCTTTTATTGTGGTGGGGCAGATGTCAGCCTGCAAACAAAGGGGCAAGGGTGGCGGGGGTTCTAGAACAGCCTGGGGGTGCGTTGGGGGAGGTAGGGGGCAGGCTGAGCGTGCATGCCACTGGGTGGAGGTGAACGTTCTGAACTCCTGCAGTTCTAGAGCAGGGAGGGCAGGACATCCGTCTGCGCTCTTCCCCACCGCAGGTCCAGTTTTGGTCACCTCCAGCACTTAGATGAGGCATGTTTTCGCAGATGGACAGACTTTCTTCTTAAACAAAATCCCTCTGGTTTTGAATCTGGAATGTGCGTAAACTTACTGCGAGAAGGACCTTTGTCCGCTCTGGCACTAGAGTAGATGGCTACGCCAAGTTCAACTCCTCTCGCGCCCCATCTTGTGTCTTCCTACTTTTGCACCTCCTCTTCCTCCTCGTCCCCCTTTCCCAGGCTAAAATGGAAACCTGTACCTGTTCCTTCTGCACAGTTTTCCTATAGATCCTGCATTGCTCTCTCCACTTTCAGACTGGTTTCCTGATCACCGCACGGTTTGACAGCTCATTGACCATTGAGACTTCTCTTTGCCTCTCTTGCTGTGAAATAAAGCAAGCAGAATCACCATGGTGAACGGTGAAAGAATTGCTAGAAAACAAGACCCATGTCATGTGCCAAGGAAGTCCTCTGGGCCTTCACCCCTGTCCCTGTTTCAGAAATCACGACGGGGCTCTCCCCTACTGCCTTCGGAAGACTTGGGCGGGGGAGGGCAGCCTGCCCGGTGGCGGGGGGGGGGTGGGGGAGGGGGACGACCAGGGGCAAATGCTCTTCCTACTAATTATTAAGCCCCAGCTCACTACCCCTGACCCTGTAGATCCCAGAAGGTCTGAGATTGTGATCTCCACTCCAGCCAGCCCCAGAACTGGTCCCGGAGACACAGATAAGCATGAAAGAATACAGGAAATTGTAATCAGAGGGATTTGGGGACTTATTATTCTCCCTAACAAAGTGCTTCTCTTTTGTTTCAGAAGAGATTACCCAAGAAAGTTAAATGACTTGAATATTTATCCGGGGCTATTCTCTGTTAAACTCTTGATTTGAAGTAAAAGCAAAGGAAAAAAAAGTTTTAGGCAGGTTAAATAGGTAGAAATAAATGCAAGGAGCAGCATATTAAGACAAGGACTTTTGACAACAGTGCAAATGTTCCTTTTTTATCTCCGAACCCAAGGACAGGAGTGTGTATATACAGGCACCACGTCACCTCCAGAGGTAGTGCTCCGGCCTGGCTCCAAGTTTTAAAGCCGGCTCCATGTTAAAGACTCCTGAACCCTGTGAGAGAAGACACTGCAGGGCCGTTTTTCAGCAGGTGTTAAACTATATTTTTTATTTCAGTCCTCAGAAAGGCAGTTCAATTACAGTGGAGTACTTGGTACAAGACAAATTAGTAGCCCCTGTATCCATTAGGCCACATTATATTTTAAAGGATGTTCTGGGCTCACCTTACCCTCGGTCAGATTTTCTTCGGTCAGATTTTCTTTGGGGGTCGGGGGAAGGAATTGGTTTTTTACGTGTCCTCTTCCTCTTCAGTCTTTTAATTCAAGAAGTCATAGTGGAGGGAGGTGTTAGGGGGAGGTTAGTTATACTTGGAAGTACATGCATTGTTATCATCCACGGGAAATATATGTGTCTCTTATGCCTATATAGATCTAAGAAAACAATTTTCTTAAGTTTCTTAGAGTTATTTCTTGAAATGGAATGGTGAATCCTTTCCACTAGCCGTAGCCCTTGGAAACCACCCACAGGCAGTCCCAATACACTTCCTTAGAGCGGGGGTGAGGGGGATATTTAAGAAGGGTGGTGAAGCCCTGAACTACTTTGATTTGCTCTGTGCCTAATTTCATTGGAACATTTATTTCTATTCATCTAAAATAATTCGTAACTTAAGATATTATTAAATGCACAATTAGATAATACTGATATATAAAGTAAAATTATTATGTGTAGTGTTAGGTCTTGGAACGACTCACTGCTGCCATCTTTTGCCTCCTGCTTCTGAAAGTTCGCATACAAAGGAACATTCTGAATTCCATAATTCACTTGGAGACCAGAAAATTATTAGCTTATTATATTCAAATTAGAGCACTCAGCACTAAATGAGAAATCTTTATTATGTTTTTTCTGTTTATGTATCAAAAGAGTTATAGGATATAAAATTCATATCTAAATAGTAAGTACCATATCTCTTGGTTTTTCAAATCACTTACCAAAATTTGGTACAAATATGTTTTCATATGGAACTTTAATTTTTAAGCATGAAACCCCATAATTCAAAATATTTTTATAAATGCACATATTCTATTTTATAGTTCAAAATATGCCAACTTTCGGAGAGTGAAATGTTTGATTCAAAGCAATTTAAATATAGCACTATATTTTGTTGTTGAGGTTCAAATAAAAAGATAATATTCCTGTCTTTTTAAAGGGAAGTACGCATTGATAAACAAATGGAAATTTCTTAACTTGGGAAATTAACTATGTGAGTGATTGCTGTTGCTGTCCAGCATTTAAATAGGGAACGTAATGACATGCTTTCAAAACTGACAAGTTTGAATTTTAAATCAAATTCATAAGAATTTCTTCAGAAGTAATGTCATTGTGGGACACCCTGGTGGCTCAGTTGGTTGAGTGTCCACCTTAGGTTCAGGTCATGATTCTAGGGTCCTGGGATGGAGTCCCTCATTGGGCTCCCTGCTGAGTGGGGAGCCTGCTTCTCTCTCTGTCTGCGGCTCCCCCAGGTCCTGCTATCTCTCTCTCTGACAAATAAATAAATAAAATCTTTTAAAAAAATTAAAAAGAAGTAATGTCATTGTATACATTATATATACATATTTGGGGGCTGATAAACACTATTGCTGATCATGAAAGATTGTTATGGACAATGGTACTCTCTTTTTAAAGGCTTTCAAAGTAGTTAACTGATTTGACTTAACCATTTTGGTTAAGATCAATGTGTGGGTCATTTCACGACTTGATGAGCAACTTCCCACTTTCACATGAACTGCTTTTTACCACTGCTGCCCCTCACGATGACATTACTCATGTATTCATTCATTTATCAGCAGATGTTTGAATACCTACTGTGGCTCAGAAACCGGGCAAAATTTGGAGACTCAATAGCAAACAATAGACAGAATGACAGATCCCTGTCCTTGGGGAATTTATAATTTGGGGTCATAAGATAAGAAAAGAGGAGGCACACTGAGGAGGTAACCACACCCAAATGTTGTTATTTCTTTCTGATTGTCTCTTTGCTTTGGGGCATTGATGATTCTTCTGTTCAATTCCTTTTCCTCAATATTTTCTCATTGTTTTTTGTCTTTTCAAGGGATTTTGTTTTTCATGCCAGGACAGAGGTAGTGTGGTGAGGGGATAAGCCCTCAAGGCAGAAGCAGAGCAAGGAGAGGGGCAGAGAGGGTGTGTTTGCTGAGAGCTGGAGTCCTTGGAGATACAACGGAAGCAGGAGTCAGACGGAAAGGAGGAGTTGGGCACCAGTGAGGTGTCCAGTGGAGGCCTCTACTTGTTTCAAAAATCATAAGCTGGTGCCAAAACATCTAAATTCAATGTAGACTGGTCAGGCATAGTGAAGGTCAAGCATTATTGATCAAAACCGGACAGTGGGTCAGAAGTCTAAGTCGACAGGCATTGACAAATGGCACATACAGAAAGAAGACATCAAACGATGGAGCTGGGCACAGAATCTTGGTAACAAATATTAGTATCAAGGAGAAGGAAACTTTATGCTATGATTTAATGTATCGGCAATGTTTATATACTTAATGAGCTTCTTCCACTGAATGAAGAAACTGACTCTCCAGATTGACTGACTTGAGGCCTCTGGACAGGAATAGAAAGAAGAAACTGCATAAAATGAGATTCAAAGCATGGAACAGGGGAGTTCTTATCAAATGCATCCATTCTTTCTAGATCGATTCTAAGGCAGAGCTGATTTAGTATTAAATTCATCAACAAAATTTCAATT